CATGGTGGCTGCTTACATTATTCTGAAACGAAATCCCTGTCATGCAATCAGTTCTGACTTTGATGAGGCTATACTACCACTGGAATACGGCAAAAATCTATCACGTGAGTGACCATTTCATCTCAAAGGTCTTATCATGGAGTAGGCGGCGGTCGCCACAGCTAAACAGCTCGCCCTGCTTAGGACGACCATCTTTTCCCCGGGTCATTTAGTTTGTGATGGTGCTGGAATAGAGTGATTCTCGCTCTCGCAAGTTTCTTGGTATTGACTTGGGTAACCACTCCCGTCATTGACAGAATCTCACCTCCGATAGGGTACATCACTGCTTAACATTTTGAAGAAATCACCTCAACCGAAGGCTAGCTAGCTTTGGTAGGTATACTGAGTTGAGGAAGATGGGCGACGTACCGCTCAGTGCACGGGAATCGGTCCCCGGGCCATGCGTGTGTGATAAGGCGCCACTTGCCACTACATCACCTCCGTTATTGGAGCAGGTAAAAGCGTTATATGATCTTCAGAGGGTAAACAACCATCTGTAGAGAGTGAACAATAGAATAACTGCGAAAAAAGCTTAACGAACTGCCAGTCACCCAACCCCTCCCCCCCCGTCCCCTTGGTTATTGAGAAATTCTTATTAAAGTCACAATTTCACATTTTTTTCATTTATTTTCCTTTCTAGCCCCTCCTGAATGTCTTAGAAACGATGTTGTGGGAACAACCGATGCGGACATTGCACAGTTAAATCAAAATAGAGACAAGAAAACCAGGTAGAACCCAGATTTCGGAGTGCTGCAACAGCCTTTCTTTCTTGGAGAACACCTAGTAGCTTTTCAGGGAGGAGTTATTGTTTGAAACTCTCCGAAATGTTGCTTATCTCCTTGTGGCATTAGTGATCACACTGGGTCTCGTTTATTTCTATCGCGATGTGAGCGGCTACTACTATCAGCAACAGGTTGGAACCTTTTGCTGAGGATCAGTTTGAGTTTTCATTTTCATTGGATTGTTTTGCTCAATTCAGGTACAAACGCTACTGAACCTTCCTCCTTCCGGACCTTATGCACCACAATCATTTCAATCCATCAGTCAGATCAGTCAATTTTGGAATTGGACACAGAGCACTTTGGTCCCATGTAGGTGTTCTTGAGGTCCCATTCATGGATGACGACGACGAAAAGGGGGTTGCCATTACAAGAAGCTAGCGCTGGGAAACTTCTTTGAACGAAGAGTGGGAGATGCTCTTTTCTATCCTCTACTTGACCGAAGCGCTATGATCCTGTTTGGGCCATGATATGATATCGAGATATCTGTAATCGTAGTCACTGCATCAGAACTGCGCCGGTGATCGGACAGTGACCTTACTTATTAGCTGGGTCGGAATCCTTCACCTCGGTATTATGGAGGAAGTTGCTCATGATAGTGTTTGCTTCTTTCTCTATGAAAAAATCTGGGACACGAGAAGGCGAGGGCACCGTCTGTCCAGCGACCTAGTTTCGACCGAGGGGCGCGCGCTGGAGCCTCTTGACCCATCCCTGGTAACCGACCCTCGACAATCCCGCAGTATCCAAGCGGAACATGACCTCCAAGTTTTTTTACTATTTTTTATTATGTGCTTTGTACGCTCACTCAATATTCAGCTCTTGCTGCTACATGGTACGACGGAAATCCAGCATGGGGAATGCGTGGATTTGCCAACGATAAGGTAGGCTAGTCTTTTGACATTTTCAAGGCTACCAAAGGCTTTTTTAGGTGTCACGAGAAATGGGTATCGGCCATATTCGGCAAATACGGTCATTGCCAATGAAAGAGTGTGACGTTGAACCCCAGCTTCGACAGTACTTCCAAAATTGTAGTGCGGATATTTCATCTAGGTATGACTGGAGAACTGATCTGTATTTTTCTCAAAGGTATCGTTCACGAAATTACAATATTTGAATTCCTTGGATCTAACCTGAAGTCTAAGGCATGTCGTCTTCAAGTTCAACTATGCCCTTGCTGAAGCGATTTCTGACCACGCCCCCTCCCCTCTCCCCTCCTTCTCGCTCGATTGAATGACGTTTTATTTTTCTAAGAAACACAAACTGCTAAAACCATGGATTCTAGGCAACTGGGAGCCATGACTTTTGACTTTTACGTGCGTGAACGTCGCCTTTGATGTATCATATCTCGAATTTCGCACCCTTTATTTCTCCAAAAACGTTGAACAAACGTTTTGATGCTTTAGAATTTCGGAGAAAATCGGTTGAGTTTAGCAACGAGGATCGCACTCCACAATATGCAGCTGGCTGGAAGAAGTACAACGCGTCATCTGATTCTTCACCACCTGCGGAATACCGTTACCAAACCGCAGAAGAATTGCAAAGTTTGAACTTTTTTAGCAGAATTATCTTACTCATACTTACATCTTTTGTATCTTCTTCATGATTAAGGGTATAGCATTCGTTAGGCTTCAATCGCAATTCAATAGGTATCCTGAAATGCCTTGTAAAATTCATCCATTCATAAGCAAAGTCCACAAAAACACTATTATCAGAAAAAATGACCCACCTCTTTCATAATTTTAAGGTAAAAAACTAGAAAATTCACAGCAGCAGTAAAAAGAATAACAGAGAACAGCAGAATAAAAGCAAAACAGCCCCTCATCATCTGGCGATCAGCTGATTGCATGCTAAACGTGTGGGTTCTGGTGCGAATAGCGACACCTGTATCGGCTCGACGTACCATTTTTATCGTAAACTGTGCCTGTAAAACGAATTATGTACGTATACTGCGGACTACATTTGGTGACCTCAATATTTCGGAGTGTCGTACGTCCCCCAAACTAAGGGTGTTCCATTCTGAGTCTATAGTTTTTTAATGGATGGCTTGCATAAATTTTAAAAGCGAGTAACCTTTCCTACCTTTCGTCCCCCTCTTTGCTACCTACAGGACTGTGCTTTATAAGAACGGGAAACTGCTCCACTCCTAGCTTACCTCGTAGAAGTGGTCTCCTATGAGCATGTGTAGCCGGTGACAAAACAGAATATCACTGAATATATCACACGCTTCAGCTATTTTCAGACTATTTGAGGTGAGCACTACTTCACCTTTCTGGGACGAAAAGACGTAGAGAGATGGACCAGAAATTTCGAGATATCTGTTTGATACTTAAAGGCACTGTTAACAAAAAAGTAAGGGTACCCTTTTTTTGACGGGAATAGATAGAACTACTCTAGAATAAAGCGATAACAACGAAAAAGCGCAAAAAAACGAATAACAAAAAGAATTACAAAGGGACAAAGAAAGAGCTGGAAAGAGGGGGTGGACGAATTTCACATTGAAAAAACTGCGGTTAGGGAGTGTTCGAGCGAGAATGCACGAAGGCGGCGCAATGTCTGCAATACAGACAACACATTGATATTAACGGAGTTTCTAAAATAAAAAACATTTGCATGCAATAATCTACCCAAAATATGTTAAAATCTTCAATATACTTACGAGAATAGTTGAAGAAAGCTACCGTGAAAAATTCATAACAAAAAAAAACAATAGAAATAACAAACATAAAATAGAAATAACAGCCGAAAACTAGCTCCTGTACGAGGCGGTCGACCAGCTGACCATTCCTGGCAATTTGCCAATCAGCGCATTGATTTTCCACCAACTTCGCTCCAGTGCGAATGTGGTGAAGGACAACTTGAACACGTAGTCAGCCTAACGAGGGGCGGAGGCCTCCCGTCCCCCGTTGTTCCTGGCCTTATTGTGCCCTATCCAGCCGTTTTCCGACCTAATTCCTACACAAATGTTATCAGAGGGGGCTTAGAATTCTAACCATGTGCATATCTTCGAAACCATTTATTCGTTAACAGTGCCTTTAAGTGTTCAAGCATCTTTCAATTATATCCATTATCAGGTATTAGAATTGACGGACAACTCCAATCCTATAGTGGAGGAGGGTACTGCGTGCTTCTGCAAGGGCCAAACGTGGATCTAATGGCGGAACTTCAAAAGCTTCAGGCGGAGAATTGGATAGATAAGGTCGTGTTCCTAAAGTTTGTCGTCTACTATCTCCAATTCTCCCCTATTCCCTGTTTTTTAGAACACTCGAGCGGTTTTCGTCGAGTTTTCCATGTACAATGCTCAAGTGAATTACTTCTCCGTCGTTCAGTTGATTATAGAGATTCCATCAGAAGGTTTTTATTCACTTGAGACGAGATTCTGTCGTGAGAGACGCTTTTTGCTAATAATTCAGGGTACCTCCTGCCATCTTCATGGGTCGAATCTGTTCGTTTGATAAGGAGTCAAGGAAGTGATGGCAAAATCATTGTGGTTTTCGAGGTGACGATTCAATAACTCTTTAAGCAACAATTTAAGTAACACTTTGAGAAAGCCGCCTTTTTAACCACTGGTCCTCCGTCATTATACCGTACCGCTCGATGCAAAGTAAGGTACATGTACTACATTCCATCTCCACTACTGAAAGCCAGGGATACTTAGGTAGCATATCTCTTATATCACTGGTTGACGTTAAGATAAAGATATTACCAGAATAAATGGTTTTCGTGAGAAATCATTCTGCCCTGCCTTTCCCTTCCTACATCGAACACCCCGTAGGAACCCATCTAGTGAGTAGAGGGGGTGTGGTGCATTAGGAACGAAATGGTCGCGTCGCGGTGAGAGG